TGTTTTAGAATGCATGATTCTAGGAAATTGTAGATGTTTTAGGACCGTTAATGTGGGAGGGCGCCAAGGACAAATGATTAAATATTACCATTTGAAATTCATTGAAGGGAATACGAAGCCCCAGATCCCTTAAGATAATCTCATACATAGGGAAGCAATCTTCCTGGAAAGACGAGCATATTCTGGCCGTAGGTGTCAGGCGAAAGATCATGAAATTTCTCGTGAAACCCTCTTGGTCGCCACCATATTCAAAGATAATGTACGCCTCCCCTCTTGTATTTCTATAGACCGAGGCTATTCCTCGAGGCTCTGCCTGACCCAGGATAATGACGGATCAATGACGGTGTCGACCAAGTGGACACCCTTGTCGACTACATTTGTTTCTTCTATCTCAACCTGCTCGGTTGTCTCGGCTAGTTCAGCCATTTCACCTATAAAGCAGAGGAAACCAGTGAATTCAACAGATAAATCAAGTCCACCCTTCCACCGTAACACAAGTGAAAGGGGGTTTCTACAACCAAACCAGGTCGATGAATCCTCATTCAGTAAAACCAAACAAACTCGTGAACGCCACGAGGAGAATATATCTCTCTCGATCAACCTCATGAACGCCATGATGAGAATCTGAATCTCTCGAGCAACATCGTGAAGGTGACGAGGATAAGATGAATCTCCCGAGCAATCCCATGAACATTGTGAGGAGGGGATGAATTCCCCGAGCAATTTCATGAGTTCTGCGGGGAGCCGATGAGTTTCACAAGGCATTTCGTGAGTATCACGAAGAGAGGTATGAATATCCTGAGTAAAAATCCCCTGAGTAGTGAAATTCATCAGGAAATCCATGAAATTTGTCAAAAACCCAGCTATAAATAAGAGTAATCACTGAAAAACACTTACTTGATTAGGGTTGGTAGAGATTCTGCGGTGGAAGCTACGGTGACGCTCACGGTTGGAGAAGGAAACTGAGAGCGATAGAAAACTGTGGACATTAGGGAGAAAGGATAGAACGAGAACTTGGAAACGTTACAAATGAGCCCTTAGGCGCTATTTACAAGGTTGGCGCGGAAGACGAAACATCGCGTCGAACAGCGTATCAACTATTCGTCTCTCCACCGCCCACGCGTTCAGGGTCATAATGACCCCTACTCCCTAGGCCAACATTATATCCCAAAAGCTACATCACGTGGCTTACTAAGTGAACATCATGCAAACTTTCGTCTCCTCGCGAGTCGAGGAGCAGATAAATTTTATCCGCGAACACACTCCAATCTCTACTCGAGTAGCCGCGTATAAAATTGACCCCGTCCCTCGACGTGATAGGGGATCCCGATGAAACTATGCTCACCATATGGGAAATGGTCTTAAGTCATAGCTCATCTCCTTAGGAGCAACGACTTGGAGGGCTCCTGTTCTGAACTGGGTCTGCACTTGGCTCAAATATCATACAAGGCCAATCCAACTAGGGTGCAGGAGAAGACCAGTAGGAGAGTCTTTCCTTAACCATATCGGAAAGTGATTTCACTCTTCTCGTTGACCGATCATCTCCACCGATTTATCACCCTTGCACACACCACCATTTTGAATATTTGCACTTTCATAATTCTTCACCATTTGCGCCACATGTTGTCTCGAGTTGAAAGGACGATTAAAGTCTTCATCATGTTCCTCTTTATTCATCCACATCCATAAGCAATAGCACCGTTACAATTGGATCCAAGATTCAAGATTACCCATTATGTGAGATTTGCCTATAAGAAAGCATGTACGTAAAATATTATTGGGAACCTTATATGCCCAAACTTGTTTGAAATTAGGGCAATTTCTAAAAGCATGCATAGTAGTTTCCATCCTTCTCCTACATAACTTGCACATAGCTTGGCTTATCCATCCCCATTATGCTTTTGTTATAATTTGTAAGCAATCTATCATGAGCCAACATCCAAACGAAGTAACAAACTTTCTTCGACACATTAAGTCTCCAAATTTTCTTCCAATCAATCTCACATCTTCCTCCCTCTGTTAGAGAACTAACCTACTTGTTATACATAGCCTTAATAGAGAATTCACTTGCACATGTACTAATTGTGACAAATCCATCGTTTTCGTACTCTGGGTGCGAGGAATACAAGTAGAGATTTTTTCACTGCAAATCCTGTGGTAGGCAACCTTGGAAATCTTACCACTTCCAGTCATCATTGTTTTCAACAAGGTTGCAAAGTTTAACTCCAAGTAAATAGTCATACATCTATAAAACTTGGTCCTCGATACATAACCCGACTCCAACCAACTATCCTTCCAAACATCTACATCTCTTCCATCACCAATACTCCAACTACGACAACGACAAATGTTGTTCCATTTTTATTTATTTTCATAAACTAGAATCAGCTTCTTTATAGTTAATGTGATCTTACGAATTGATGTAGTTGTACTTTCCTTTCAACACTTTGCACCATAGTTCACGTGGATTGTTGTGTAACTTCCATCCAAGCTCCTTTATAGTTAACGTGGTCTTGAAAATTTGATATATTTTACTTTAACGCATTTTCGACTTTTTGTTTTGTTATAATAATTTAAAGTGAAAAGGTGATGCTCTAATTTAAAACAATATATCAAATAACACACTAATCTCTCTTTAAAGATAATATTTACTAAGATATTTGCGCTCTCACACATGTAAAAATAGATATTGTGTTGAAAGTGACCCGTAAGACTTAACATTTTATTATCATATTCATGTGCTAATTTTGTATATAATAGGTAGTTTGGTCAAGTGAATAATAACTTGTTGATAGTAGATGCTCATTAAAACTCAATGTATTAAAATAAAATAATTTAAAAAAGGGCATATGAGTTGGAGAAAATAAAATAAAATTTTAACAAATGCAAATATAAAATTTTAAAGATAAATGCAATATAAAATAATTTACTTAATTGTTAATTGAACAGTAATCCAATAGATTTAAGTGTATTAAATAATTTAAAAAAAAATACTTTCCAACTACAACACAAGTTCAGCAGCAACTTATTTCAATATTTAAGTACATTTTTGTGAAGCTCAAACCAGATGTTAATTATTATTTTTGCCATGTGTGTCACCCAAAGAGTATAAACGTCAAGCTATTTAGAACATAAAATAAAACACAAGCTTTGGAAAACGAAAATGATATTGTAGTACTGTTACTAAAAAGGGGATTCAACCACCGTCATTCATCCTCTATATGAAATAAAGTCATATAAAAGTGATTTGGCCATCTTAACTCAAATAAATAGGGAATTTGTAACTGTCACAAATGAATTTTTGGTAAGAGAATTTCTTCGAGACAAATATCATTAGAGGATCAATGTTTAGAGAACAACAGAGAACAGTAACAGTTATGTAATATAATGAATAAATCAAGCAAGATAATTGTGCAAATATATATTGTGCAATAATGTCTGTCTTTTAGCATTGTAGACAACATTGAATAATCTCTCCTTTAGACCACTAGATGTTTTAACAACATTAATAACGACGCAGACGAAAAAAATCAAATAGCACAATGAATAAACAAAGGCAAAAGAACATTTCTAAAAGTTGCTGCACAAATGTATGATTGCTCTACCCAGCATATATTCTGTTATATAGACGCGAAACACTGCAGAAGATAGTAGGTCTTAGAACTGCAAGGTCTTCTATTAATTTCAGATTATTCTGTATGCAACAGGTAGGAAGAAAATGTCAGTTTATAGTGAAGCAAAATCCAGTGACAAAATCAACCCCACCGCATCATACTTAATCCAGTATGATTTATAAGCAAAAGTTAACTACACCACGTATATTAAGGATTAATCACATAATCTCATTTAAAAATCAATTTCATTACCTGAATTACCCTTCAAGATAGTAGTAATAAATCAGTTCATTGAAAAAAAGTTAAATTAAATCAGAGACATTTTTTAGATATATCATTAAATTGGCCAAAAGGTGTAATTTTCCTTATATTTTATTCCAAAATATATTTGCTATATTTTCATATAAATCATTCTGCAGGAAGTCTAAGCCATAAGGTAGTACCTTGGCTTCGCAAGTCAACATAAAAAAGGTAGCTATCATTTAGAAATCTTAGATAGGAGATAAATCATTCAGAATTAATATATATATTTCACAAATGAAAGGAAGAGATAAGCTTAATTTGTTTAAGACACAACCCCGGAAGAATCCCACCGCAATGTCAAAATATACTGTTATGACTCGATTTGCTCGCTCATAAATGTGTGCCAAAGGGAGATAAGATATATTACTGAAAATCAAAGGAAACTAAGGTAAAGATAGTAGAATAAACTATCATGAACAAAAATGGCAGAATTAATTGTGTACAGCAAAAAAGATCTTACACATCATTTGGGTTGAATTTTTTCACTCAAAGAGGTCCCAGCAACATTTGCAATAAAGTTTTGATGGACAAAACTGCACCCTGACCAGAATATTTTGAGTTGCAATATGAATAAGAAATGCTTTATATGACTACTATTAAGCAAAGAAACTATTTTAGTGGAATAATATACCACCGAGAAAAGTAAATTGTAATTTTATAGGAACCCCTACCTTTGAAGTTCTAGTCGTGCCACTCGTATAGCAAATGGTTGCAATATCATCAGGCCTTGGAGGGTGAAAGGAATGAAGATTGATGCGCCCCTATATCCAAATCACACAAACAATGAGGTGACAAATTTATCAAATAGAAACAGATCAAATCAATTTCCAATTTGCAACACCATTTATAAAAATGAAACCTAATACTGATAGATCGCAACAGATAGACTAGATACAAGAGCCCTACCAAAGTAACACTTCCTATAATCCAAGGAAGCAAGTAAATTTAATACTATATAATTGAACATAATCAGATATGAACACACAACGTAACATTCTTTGACTGAGACATTTAGATTACCTGACTAATAAGCTTTGTATATGAAATAATTTGAACTCCATCTGTTGATGGAAGTGATGGAATTTAATCATCTATATCTCCAACTACCTGAATACAAACAAAAAATCATTATGGACTTACTTTGTGAAACAATATTTAATTACAAATATAAGCCACAAATCCAGACATACCACAATAAGACGTACGGTTGGAATTTTAGACAAGTAGCTCAGTAACTGCAATGTAAGATGACATAATACATAAATTTTGTAAAAGTAGATTCTTACACCCTCTGTGATATATATTTTTGTAGGTGAAACTCCTGAAACTGAAATATGGCATATGGATATAAGTAGTTGAACTTTGCATGGAGAATAATAAGAAAATCTCCCAATCTAAATACCGAAATTTGTAACAGACACTTCATGAGCAACAACGACAGAAACATTAAGCCCGAGTGCATAAGCTATTTCTAAGACCTTCAAAGTAATATCAATGCAGTATCTGACCTGATCAACAAAAACATAGACAGAGAACGATATCAAAAACCACTAACCTCTTTCACTCCTAACTTTTCCCAATCAGCATCATCCGCATTTTAAGATGGGAAAAAAGGAAGCAAAAAAAATTAACTGCATTATAATATCAGTTTTTGTGCATCAAAGTCAATTAAACAACCTAATATCACATTAAAAATAAACTAATTAACAATTGACAATGCATCAATTCATTAATGCATCGAAACCTAGAAAGACCTAAAAATGAGATTTGTGAAATTGGGAACTACATAACGAATGAAAAAGAGAGTACCTACGTTTTGAAAGCGTCTGCGAGATAGTTGGCTGTGAAATAGGTCATTATTTGTACCACAATAGTTGGCACTCAGCTTAATTAGTTCATTGTCAGCATCAAGTATCCTGATGTTGATGAAAATCCACAGTAGAATTTTATCAAACACATGGTGTGCATATATAAAATTGAAAAATAGGCAAGAAAAGTTGAAACCTTATGCAAGAAAGAAGCAGTGGAAATCAAAACCTGAAAAACCAAAACATTGTCATTATTCTTGTTCACCGCCACAACAACACAAACAACAAATATTGCAAAAGAAATTGAAACGAAATAGTAAGAGAAAAGAAGAATGCATACATAAGATTGTTTACAAATTTCAGATGCTTGTGAGAGTGAGAAGAAATTTTGATTTCTTTATTGAAGATAGGGAGGAGAAAGGAGCGGCGGCGGAGGTAGGGTTTGAGGGGAAAGAGAGAGAAGACAAGAGGTGAGTTTGTTGTTGTGTTGTAGTAGTGAGTTTGTCATTTTGGACCAATGAAAAAATGACATAGAAAGTGTAAGATTAATTTTGGACTAACGAAAACTGAAGCAAAACGAAAACTTCACGAGCTTTCAAAAAATTGTTTTCAATAAAACTTTTCATGAAAGAGGAAGTAATGGAAGAATGACAAAAAAAAGTAATAGAAGAAAGAGGAAGTATGTTGTAAAGTATTGAGCTGAGAAAGTTAACATACCTGCGAGGAAGATGAAGATGAAAGTTGTGAGCTAAAGAAGATGCTTGGTGTTACTTCGGTAGGGGAGAAAATGAGCAGGTATGAGAAGAAATGAAGTCTAAAAGATTAAGACATCGCTGCATTACATGAAAGGTAAAACGTTTGTTTAATTTGGACCAATGAAAACGTAACACATGGTAGTTGTAATATGAATAGATGAGAAAATGTTCCTTTTTTAATTTGTTAATTACGTTAATGTCTAATTTGCAGTGCAAAAATGTTTAATTGAAAGGACAAATTAGTCAGATTGGTCAATTGCTTAGTATTAGACCATGTGCAATGGTGTGTTTAATTGAACTCAATATGGCAAAATCATGTGCAATGGTGTGTTTAGAGTAGTGTTGAGTGTGTGTTGGAGGAGAGAGATGTTGAGAAAACTCAACACCATGTACAATGACGCATGGGCTGACGTGGCAGCGGCTGGTTGGCTGACCAGATTTTTATCCATTTAATATTTTGAACTCAATTATTTCGTTGCAAATTAATTTTTTTTTTTTTTTTTACCAAAATTCATGATTTTTTTTTCTTTATAAATAGAGACTTGGTTCATTTGATTTGGACACAAAAAAAAAGCTAAGTTTTTCACTATCTTAATTTTATTATTAGTGTTTATTTTGAAGTTAAGTGTCTTTTTTTAGTGAAATGGATCCCAATAATCATTTTAACACTCAAAATTCTGCTAATTTTCCATTTAATCAATTTTCCATTTTTCCATTTAAATAAATTTTGTTTTTATTACAAAAAATTAAAAAATAAATTATTAAGTATTTATTATTTTAATTTAATTTTAATCGATAATTGTAATTTTATGTAATCATAAAAATAAAAATAAAATTTAAATAAGAATATGAAAATAAAAAGTGGTGGGGTAGGGTGTTGAGTGAAAAACTATTGGAGAGGATAAAAGTTGAATGAGTGTTGGGTTATGATCTGACCTGATCAGAAGGTTTGGACCGTCACGGCTGCTCCGAGCTGAAGGCTTTTTGAACGAGGAGGGGGGTACCTGCAAGGCACTCCGATGCTTAAGTCAGTGGGAGTACTAGCAGATAATAGAGTTGAGGTTAGAATGATCAATACCTGACCCTCTGGAAGCAGAGGGTATTTATAGCCCCCAGCGCTGGGCCAAGGTTCCTTCATTGGGCCGGGCGGATTTGGCCCAATGGAGGAACTGTCAGGTTCTACGTGGGTAGTGGGGACCAGCACGTGATCCCCTCCCTGGATATGCTGCATGAAATGCGGGCGGACGGAGACGCGGTCTTTCCGGAGTATCGTTGGGGTAATGGAGGACTAAGTCTGCCCTAGCAAGTTAGCTCGAGACCATGTCGAGCTGTGCAGCACGGTGCCGAGCCCGACGCCCAGACCTCGAGCTGGACGGCGAGTGTCGAGCTGGAAGCCAGGACATAGGGCTGGATGGCATGCTGTCGAGCAGGACTTCATCGTGGGGCTGGACACCGAGATGTCGAGGTGGACATCAGGGTGTCGGACATGGACGTGGCCCCCTGTGCCCAGTGTGGTCCTTAGTGAGTCCCTTTGGACTGGGCCTTAGTAATGCTTTTGGGCCTGTCGGGCCCAGTCCAGAACAGGTTATTAGGTGGAAGAAAGAGAAAATGATGTAGAGTGTTGGGAGTTGAAAAAGTAGGTGTTGAGTTTTTCAACCATTGTAAATGTTCTTAGCTTTATAGTAGATGAGATTTGAATCTGGCTGTTTTCTTTTCATCACAGTTTAATACTATTTCTTATACAAGTATCTTTTTATAGATTTTTTAATTATTGTTTTTAAGACACTTGTTGGAAAGAAAATATTGGATATGAAAATTAAACAGATTATTTCTTAATTTTTACAGTTTAATCACAATTTTATAATTTTGATCGATTAAATAGACTTAAAATACAATTTTAGTAAAATAAAAAAAAACATTTAATAGAAGAAAATAGAATTCAATGACATCACTGAAGTTTGTGCAGTTACGTGATCTGTCCTCACACAGTTACTATTTCTGTCACTAACATAGATTTTCCCCTGCGAAACCCAAACAATCTGAATCCACACATCACAATGCTAAATCATAAACGACTCGTCGTTTTACTCTCCCTCACCACTCTCCTCTTCTTCTCTTCACTATCTCTCACTCTCTGCGAAGACGACGAAGACCTCAGCTTCTTGGAAGAACCCGAAGAAGCCTCCACCACACACCACAACGACGCAAATTACCCGGATCCAGATAATTTCGACGACGAAGATGAAGACGACGGAGGGGGCGATTTCTCCGGCTACGATCCTCACTCGGAGGACGAGTTCAATGATCCAGAGGTGGATGAAAAAGACGTCGTCGTTTTGATTGAGCGAAACTTCACCACCGTTATTGAAAACAACGAATTTGTGCTTGTTGAGTTCTACGCGCCGTGGTGTGGTCACTGTCAAGCTCTAGCGCCGGAGTATGCCGCGGCCGCTACTGAGTTGAAGAAAGACGGTGTCGTTTTGGCTAAGGTCGATGCTTCGCAGGAAAATGAATTGGCTCATGAGTATGATGTTCAGGGTTTTCCTACTATATTCTTCTTCGTTGATGGAGTTCATAAACCTTACACTGGCCAAAGAACCAAGTAACTTTTTCTTCGCTCCGAATTTTGATCTTGTGTGTTTTCGCAATTGTGATCATAAATGAAAATTATAATTTGAGAAAATGCTAGTTATTGAGTCTAACTATATATGTCCATGTTTGAACTCGTGGTGAGTTTGACATAATCACGGCAATCATACACTATGTTCTTAATGTTTGATATCTATTATAGACACTCAACGGGCTTTTAATCACAAGTGTCGTGTTACATAGGTTATAATCATCAAGTTTTGCTTTCAATTGATGTGGCATTGGTTTTAAAACATTCTTATGAGTTGAAATTTTGCTTTTTTTGCAGAGATACTATAGTGACATGGATTAAGAAGAAGATAGGACCTGGTGTGTACAACATTACTACATTGGATGATGCTGAACGCATATTGACCTCTGAAACTAAAGTTGTTTTGGGCTTCCTTAATTCGTTAGTTGTAAGTTTTTTGGATTCTTATTTGATTGTCTTGCGTATATGTTTCTCATCTTTTATCAAATGTGATTTAAGAGTACAATTTATTTATTTATTTTTGTAATTTAAATGCTTATTTTGATATGGTTTGAGGAGTTTATTGTTTTTACTTATATGGGACATACTAATATAGGTTTGTCGTAAAGTAAGAAAAATATACACAGTTGTTTCCTTCCTAACTAATCCATTTAATAAAGAGGCCAAATGCAGTGTTGATTCTCTAGATTAAATAATGGATCTGAAGTTTGATGATTCAGTTTATGAAAGTGTTGGTTGATTGGTTGTTAGGTCTGATGCCTTCTTTATTCTGTCTTAATATGCAGGGTGCTGAAAGTGATGAGCTAGCTGCAGCATCAAAACTTGAGGATGGCGTCAATTTTTACCAAACCGTGATTCCTAATGTGGCTAAGCTTTTCCATATTGACCCAAATGTCACGCGCCCTGCCTTGATCTTGCTCAAGAAAGAGGAGGAGAAACTGAACCATTTTGGTTTGTTTTATTGTTCCACTCTCCGCCAACTCATGAATAAGAAAAGGACATCACTAGGCTTTTAATGCAAACTTATACATTTCATTATCTCTGCAGATGGCCAATTTGTTAAAGCTGCAATAGCCAACTTTGTATCCTCCAACAAGCTTCCGCTTGTCACAACTTTTTCTAAGGAAAGTGCCCCAGTGATTTTTGAAAGTCCAATCAAGAAACAGGCAATTACTTATATCTCTTTTTGGTTTATATTGTTAATCTAGGAATAGACTTTCCTTGAAAGTCGTATCTTAACAAACCTCTAACTATTGTTGTGTTTTAAACTCTGCTTTTAGTTGTTGCTGTTTGTGACTAAAAAGGATACAGAGAAGTTCATTCAAGTATTTCAAGAAGCATCAAAGATTTTCAAGGGAAAGGTATTTTCCTAACAGGCCCCATTATTTAATACTCTGTCACTATTCATTCTCTATAGTCTAGACAAATTTGTATTTGCTTTTTATTCACCCAAAAAATGCAAATAAAATATAATGCTTTACTGTTAATTAAAATTAGAGTGCAGTGTGCATCCAATTGGATCATGAAAATAGATTAGGGGAAAGGGGAAAGTAAGGGTATACAAATTTTAGTTTGGAAGGCACGGAATTGACTAAGTGAATGCCATATGTACTTTTCTATGGCAGTGTTTGCCAAACTAAAAAGTCTGGATATGTCTACCGATGCCATTGTTGCTGAGTAGGTTAAATAACATCATTATGTTATTTGCTCAATGTAGCCAGCCGCCTTCACTTGTTCGAAAAAGACTTTGTTGCAAAGGTGGTTCAAAATCATTTCTTTTTGTTGAGAGATAGTTGTTGATTGTAATCAGATTTGTTATTATCCTCTTTTTATGATTATCTTTATATTTATAGGGATATTTGATCAGATTCCAGTCCATAGTTATATGATCTTGATAGGATCACAATACTATTTAGATTATTCCCCTCATGTATATAAATGTGCACAACTTTCTTATCAGTAAGGCAGAAGTATTCAGATTCAAGTCTTTTTGACAAACCAATATAATTTGAAGCTAGATAAAAGTTATATAGATTTAATTTGTATATACAGTCAGTGTAATTGTTTTTTAAACATGCATCTAATCGTATCATACCATGTAGGTACTAGTGGAGATGCTTTAGGTACTAACATAACAAAGTGGCATCGTAATATGATTTAATTGGATGCATATGTAAAAAAGTTTTACATAGTTAGTGCGTAGAAACTAATTTCTCTGTGAAGTAGCTTTGAATTTGAGTGGTTTTGGTTATGAAATAGTTCTGAAATTTACAAAAATTTCACTGACTGTACTAATAACCATGTCCTTTGCAGAATCTATTGAGATTTCATATTTGATCTATATGTTGTTCATACACTTTGCTCATAATAACCCTATGCATCATTAAAATTTAAGCAATAATAAATTTTAGTTTCTATACTTCCCCCAAAGAATCTTGATTTGGGACAATAACATATTTCTGTACAATGATCCTTTGCAGCTGATTTTTGTTCATGTGGACATCGATAATGAAGAAGTTGGAAAGCCTGTTGCAGATTATTTTGGTATCTCTGAGAATACTCCCCAAGTAATAATTTCTCCTTTTCTATATTTTTGTGAGGTTGAGTCTTGAGAGTCTTGACATATTATATAATTTAAATTCAATTCCCAGTAAATCAAGTAACAGATGATATTTTGAATATAGGTACTTGCATTCACAGGAAATGATGATGGTAGAAAATTTTTGCTTGATGGTGAGGTGACCGTTGACAATATTAAGGTATCCTTTCCTCCAAGGGCTCTGTTCATTTTGTTATCATGTTATGGAATATGCACGTATGCTTTCTTGT